TTTTTTTTTTTTTAAGATTTTATTGTTCATTTGAGACACATAGATACAGAGAGAGAGAGAGAGAGCACATGAGCAGGGGAAGAGGCAGAGGGAGAGGGAGAAGCAGGCTCCCCGCTGAGTCAGGAGCCGGACATGGGGCTCGATCCCAGGACCCTGGGATCAGGACCTGAGCTGAAGGCAGACGCTCAACCATCTGAGCCACCCAGGCGCCCCTGAATGTACTTTTTTTAAAACTCCCAGTACCTCTGAATGTGATTTTATTTGGAAGTAGAATCATCACAGATATGATTTATGTGGGAAACAAAGGCAGAAGAAAAATTATTAAATTTCCTAACTACCTACACCCCACTGATAAGTGTTTGAAACAGGCAGAGGGACATTCCTCTAGGGACTCAACGGACTCAATGCTAATACTTTGCTAAGGGCAAAAGGCAATCCTAGCCTGACCATCCTCCCCTCCCCCCCATCCTGTAAGTCTACTTTAATGTATAAGAATTCCTTTAGAAATTTTCTTTATCTCTAAACCCCCCACATTATATGTTGGCAATCACCTCCCAAGCTTATGGCCCACGGATATACATCAGAAGGGTCTCATGACTAAGGTTTTATTAGATGGTAATAAATGACCTTTTCCCAACAATAGCTAGCCCCCTCAAGGTCCTGGAAAACTTGCTTCCGAATTCCTTAGAGACTTAAGCTCTCCCTAACCCCATCCCAACTTGAAAGTCTATAATGGGCCACTCCTCATGACCCCAGTGCAGCTCTTTTTGCACCAAAGACATCTCAAGAATTCTTTCTTGGCCGTTGGCTTTGAACCCTAAAGTCTTTTCTACAGCATATGGCACCCAACGTGGTGCTTTGAGTCCAGAGTCTCATCTGGACTTGAGCCTCGGTGCAAACATGGTGAGTACTTACTTCCTCTTCTCTTCCTTTATGTTCATTTCAGGGGCTTTTCAAGGAGTAGTCTTATTGGAACACTTTCATGAAGATTGCTCAGGCTGTAATCCTCTAGCCCGTGGCTACTCTATGGGGAGGAGAAAGCCTGCCTTTTCGCTGGAAGTTAGTATCCTGGCTGGAATGGTAATAGGACCCAGAAACTTGATGCCCTCTCTTTATTCCTGTCCTTATACAAAGTCCTCTGTCTTGGGCACGGGACGGCCATCTATGCCACGAGCACGGCTATGTGAGGTTTCCTCCTGATTGATCTAATGTGATCCCCTTCACATCCTTGGTCTAGCCGCTTCTGGCCAAGGGACCTCCACTGGGAGCTGGCCAAAACCAGTACTCCACTGAATTAAAACTCAACCAGGGACTGTTTCCTAGGGAAGTTGGCTATAAGGACTACATATGTTGGAATGTCGCTTAGATCATGATGGATTTCTTTTTTTTTTTTTTAAGATTTTATTTATTTATTTGACACACAGAGAAACAGAGCACAGCAGGGGTAGCAGCAGGCAGAGGGAGAGGGAGAGGCAGGCTCCCCGTTGTACAGAGAGCCCAACATGGGGCTTGATCCCAGGACCCTGTGATCATGACCTGAGCCGAAGGCAGATGCTTAACCGGCTGAGCCACCCAGGCGCCCTGATCATGATGGATTTCTATCTTTACTGTTTTCTGTCAATATCCTCTACTAACTACTTAAAAGCTACAGAATTCAGTTATTTCCCCTTGTAAAACTTTTCTAGTGTTCTCCATGGATTAAAAATGG